AGGGTTTTCACAAGTCAGTTGAAATGAGTAGAACATACAGGTGTTTGTACATAACTTTCTATATTTATTGCACGTCGACACGACAGACAGCAAGAGGTTTATCCTGCACTTCACTTCACTGCACTTTTTAACCCACCTCCTCACTAGCTGTGTGAGCCAGGGGTGCGTTCGGATTATAGTTTATTAAATCAATACATGGTAACGCACAAAAACGCACTCGAGATTTTGTCATGAGTCATTTTCCACGCACCACTTTTAGAAACAAATAAATAAAACATATCCAGTTAACTAGCAGAGCATTCATTTAGTTCGCTATTAAATAAGAGATCTAGCGTTAAATTGTTTTGGTTTTGAACTCAAGCTGAGCGCTCGTTGCCGCGGCTGCATTTGTTCTCTTGTGGCGAGCGCGCAGTATTCACTCGGACGCGCAATCTATCACCGTTGTGGAAACTATTCATTCCGGTGAAATCACAAAATGAAAGGCACTCAACCGTCCCGTGTCTCTGCTTGATATAGACTGTAACCACTGATGAGCATATTCAGTTTTGATGAGAGAAAAAAAAAACGTGTTGTGGGAAAAGCATTTACGGCAGTGGGTCTAGCAGGAGCCTGCTTGCACACTATAGCAGTGCTACAAGCATATCAGGCTGACCTGCTGTGGTATTTGGACAGAAGTGAGGGAGTTTGGCCTGATGGGGTTTGAGAACTTCGTCGGGCCACAGATTTATCTCTCAGGGATGGCAGCCCTTGTGGTCACTGATACCCCTTTTCCACCAACGCATTTTGAGAGCCGGTTCGGAGCCGGTGCCTGCGCGCGAACCGGTTCTTTGTGTTTCGACAGCCAAAGAACTGGTTCTCGGCCAGGAAAATTGGTTCCAAAGCGGCACCAACAGTTTGCTGGACTAGAACCGTTCTTTTACCACGTCATGCTGCTTACGTCGGGGGCTGGGGGCGGGTTTAGATAACATATTTTCTGACATAATATAGGATCGCAAAGCCAGGAGAAACATTTGCAGAAACACGATGTAGTCCGCCATTGTAATTGTTATGCTTGAAGTTGGCGCAAGCGTTTCTAGGTTTTTTTTTTATCAATTTTTTTTATTGAAAATGTTATGTAAACAAAGGAGAAAACAGTCACAATATAGAACAAATAAATGGAAAGAAAAAAAATACACAAGACAGGAGTACATAACTAATCAGAAAAGATTACATATCAAAGGAAAAGATTAAAAGACTTGCATATTTCAATTGTTTTTAAAGCCTTCTTGGTTCACGAGTTAGAGATAATCCCAAAGTAATGTTGTACTTGCAAGCGTTTCTAGCTAAAATGTATGGCGACGTACACAGTGACGTAACGACGTCGTTCGCTGGGCGCTCTAGTCAGTGGAAAAACAAACAGGTTCTGAGAAGGTTCGCAAGTTGAACCAACTCCGAACCAACTTTGAACCAGCACCAGTTCCGAACCAGTTCTTTTTTGGTGGAAAAGGGGTATATGAGACACCTCTGGCTCAATTTGATGGGAATCATGGAGAAAGATACAATATAATCTCTCCCTCGCTATGTCCAACCCCCTGGGGCTGCTGGGCGTGAGCAGCTCCAGCCGTCTAGTTTCTCAAACACAACACAGCAGCCAAAGCCTTCAAAGCAGAAGCCGGATCCGAGGACCGTTCTTCATGCTGAGAAGGCTTCGGCTCAAAGGAAAACTTCTGGCGCCACCGGCGTCAGACCGGTGAGGGCAGCCCCAACCGGGGTGGAATGGTGTACACCTCATTATACGGTGCCCTTTCCATCTCGGTGCCCTCAGGGGACTGTTTTGCCAACCCCGCCACCCTTGGTGCTCGGCGCGCAGCGGTCTCCAAGCGAGCTTCTGGCGCAGCGTCAACTCAACATTGCGTCGGACTCGCGCCCTCTGAGGGGGGTTCGAAAACAGTCAGTTCGGGTGGTTCCTGCCAGTATGCTTCAGGTCCCCGAACTGGCTGTCTTTATTACACCAGAGGCCAGCCTCGAGGGGCTGGTTCCCTTGGTAGATTATCTGGCAGCGCGGAAGCTACTGCCAAATATATCTCTATGGGTCCTGCAGTTACTCACGTTAGTGCATTCCGAGCAGGCTCTGGTAATGGAGCAAGAGGTAAAGGCCCTCTTTTTTAGGAAAAAAAGCTATAGAGCAGGTGTACTCACCCGACATTGCGTCGGGTCTTTACAGTCGTTATCTCATTGTTCCAAAAAAGGATGGAGAGCTGCGTCACATACTAGATCTACGTCTGTTGGAGTGTTTGGTGCTGGAACTCAAGTCCAAGATGCTGACACTCAAACAGATCGTGACTCAAATCAGATCTGAGGATTGGTTTGTCACGATAGATCTAAAAGACACATACTTCCATATCTCCATCCTCCCTCAGCATAGGAGGTTCTTGAGGTTTTCTTTGGGGCAAAGAACACCATTATCAGGCACTTCCTTTCGGTCTAGCTCTATCACCCCGCACATTCACGAAGCTGCATTCTGAATTGCATAGATGACTGGCTGATTCTAGCGGAATCAGAACAGTTAGCGGTTCGGCACCGAGGTGTCGTTCTCGCTCATATGCAGATGTTGGGGTTGAGGCTCAATGCCAAGAAGAGTGTGCTTTCTCCAGTACAGAGAACCACTTTCCTTGGTGTGGTATGGGATTCAGTGACGATGCGGGCCACTCTGTCGCCCGTTCGTGTAGCTGCTATCCTGACAGCCACAAAAGAGCTGAGGCTAGGCCAGTCACGCACTGTAAAACAGTTCGAGAGACTGTTGGCCTCTTATTTTGGTCCCTGATGTAGTGAAGGTCATTTGCAGCATATGTAGAGCCCAAATATAAACTCAGATATAAACTCAAGCCCGTGTTTTCTGAATTGTCGTTGTGTTTTCTGAATTGTTATTTTGTTTTCTGAATTGTCGTTGTGTTTTCTGAATTGTCGTTGTGTTTTCTGAATTGTTATTTTGTTTTCTGAATTGTCGTTGTGTTTTCTTAATTGTCGTTGTGTTTTCTGAATTGTTATTTTGTTTTCTGAATTGTTATTTTGTTTTTATAATTGTGATTTGTTTTGCACCTCTCTGCCACCGTAGGACTGTTTCAAAGCAGTTTTACAGTGATAATAGGAAACTAAAGTAACAGAGATTGTTTTGGCTTTACAGCAGCTCTAGAATAAAATTGTCCAGCTAAAGTTAGTTTTGATTGATTCACTTTCGTCGCAACGATCATTAGTTATTAACTTAGGGGCCGCTAACACGACACCGTTTTAACAGAAAACCTTTAATGCGATCCGGCCACTCATTTGCATAAAACAGTAACTGGTGGCTCTGAGAATTGTTATCGCTTCCGCGTAGCCACGTGAACCGGAATTAACCCGACAACGTTTCATCTGTACAGAGGTAGAGGGAAGGAGGCCTTCACAAGGGAGAGACTAGTTGACACTTCAGGACTGCTTTGTCGTCATGTCCAGACGCAGGTCCTTCATCGGATCTAGGTATTATCAACTGGCCAGAAGTTTGAGATCGCAATAGACGTGAAGGACTATAATGCGTCAAGAGCTCGCTCAAGTACTGCAGAGCTAAACCATTTAGTGCTTCGTAAGTAATCCGCAATATTTTAAAATTGATACAATGTTTAATAGGCAGCCAATGCAGTGTTGACAGAACCGGGCTAATATGGTCATACTTCCTGGTTCTGGTAAGAACTCGAGCTGCTGCGTTTTGAACTAGCTGTAGTTTGTTTATTAAGCGTGCAGGGCAACCACCCAGTAGAGCATTACAATAATCTAGCCTTGAGGTCATGAACGCATAAACTAATTGTTCCGCCTTTGTCAATGAGAGCATATGGCAAAATTAAGATATATTTTTAAGTTGGAAAAATGCAGTTTTACAGATGCTAGACACGTGACTTTCAAATGAAAGATTGGTATCAAAGAGCACACCCAGGTTCCTAACCGACGACGAAGACTTGACAGAGCACCAAGTGTGCCATCAAGTGTTAGACAGTATTCTGGGTTATTACGTGAGGACGTTTTTTGTCCAATAATTAGAATCTTTGTTTTTTTTCAGAATTACTACTAGGAAATTACTAGTCATCCAATTTTTTATATCAGCTATTCATTCCGTTAATTTTGTGAATTTGGTAAGTTTCGTTAGGTTTTGAAGAAATATAGAGCTGAGTATCATCGGCATAACAGTGAAAACTAATGCCATGTTTCCTAATGATATCTCCTAAGGGTGCAAAGTATATCTTGGTGTGAGAGGCACTGGGTGGCGTAGTCAAGAACCTTTAAGCCTAGATCGGGTCAAAGTTTCGTAAGGTCACATAATGATATCTCCTAAGTGTAGCATGTACAGAGTGAACAGCAACGGTCCTAGTACTGAGCCTTGTGGTACGCCATACTGAACTTGTGATCGATAAGACATCTCTTCATTTACTGCTACAAACTGATAACGGTCAGATAATTATGATTTAAACCATGCTAGTGCAATTCCACTAATGCCAATATAATTTTCGAGTCTATTTTAAAGGAAAACTCCACCGTTTTTTTAAATAGGGCTTATTCACCGTCTCCCCTTCATTTAGATAGGTGGGCAAACCCAGTCGGTATTCAGTCGGTTTTATCTATCTATCTATCTATCTATCTATCTATCTATCTATCTATCTATATATATATTTATATATATATATATATATATATATATCCCAAAGTAAGAGCCCTCCAAAGTTCATAAATATGCTGTTTTGTAAAAATCTTTTTTTTTTTATCCTAGTTTAAAAAAAAAATCATTTAAAAAAAATCCTAGTTTCCACAGCCCAATTTCACATCAGCTGGAGAGTACACCTTCTCACAGTGTCAACTGCACCATTTCTGGACGTTCTGATGTTATATTACAAAGTGTCCTGTGCTCACCACACACCGGCTAAAGGGAAGAGGAGAGATTTGGCTATAGGGTGATGTGTGGCTAACTTACACAGAAGAGACTTAGTTGCTCAGCACATGAAAATAAACTACTTACCGTGATCTCAGACTGTGTTTAAGTGGTTTCTCCACTGTGTGGATCTTCATGTGTCGCTTCAGGTGAGTTTTAAAAGAGAAACTCGTCCCGCACTGATCACACGTGTGTAGTTTCTCTCTGTTGTGGATCCTCTCATGTGTTTTCAGAGATGATGACACACTGAATCTCTTGTCACAGTGTGAACACTTGTAAGGTTTTTCTCCAGTGTGGATCCTCTGGTGCAGTTTTAAACAGTTTGCTGAAGTAAAAGTCTTCTCACACTCAAAGCACATGTACTCTCTCACACCAGTGTGTATTTTCTCATGTCTATGTAAAGATTCCAGCAGTGAAAAACTCTTTCCACACACAGAACATGAATGCGGCTTCTCCTTCGTATGAACTGTCAGGTGTTTCTTCAGGTGTGATGCACTACGAAATGTTTTCCCGCATTGATCACATGAGAAAGGCTTCTCTCCGGTGTGGATCCTCATGTGAATATTAAGGGATGATGATTGACTGAAACTCTTTCCACACTGATCACATGAGAACGGCTTCTCTCCGGTGTGGATCATCATGTGTTGATTACGCTTTGCTATTTGTGTGAAACTCTTCCCGCACTGATCACATGTGAACGCTTTCTCTCCGGTGTGGATCCTCATGTGAATCTCAAGACGTTGTTTGGTTGTGAAACTGTTTCCACACTGAGTGCAGGTGAAAGATTTCTTGGCTCTTCTTTTCTTTAAAAATGTCTGTTTAGTCTTTGAGCGACTCAAAGGTTTTCCTCCAGGTTGGACATGATGTTCCTCCTTCACTTCACTCAGTTCTTCTCTCTCCTCCTTCACTTCACTCAGTTCTTCTCTCTCCTCCTTCACTTCACTCAGTTCTTCTCTCTCCTCGCTCTCTTCCATCGGGTCTGAAATGAAAGAAAAACTCTCATTTATCTTCCAATTATTATTTTTAAAAACATTATAGGCACGAATCCCATGTTTCTTTAGCAAGAACTATTAAATATATTTGATCAATGACACAATTATCTAACATGATATTAACATTAAAATATACAATACTGCCATGTTTCGACACCAACTTTGAGATTGATATTTATTTGACTAAAACGTTTTAATTATTAATGGCCGTTCACACTAGACTTTTCCTTGCACTGACGCATGTGAAAGTGGGACACCAGAAACACAAGCTCCAGTGAATAACCCTGTGAGAAATAACACAAGCGTTTAGCATTCAAGTGGAGTGGATTGTTTATTTTTAAATTTTGAATTATTATTATTTGTTAAATGTATGTTTGTAAAAAAAACTTCCGCAGAATGTGACGTAATTTCACGACCGTTGAAGTGTCTGTAGAAACTTCACACGCTCAAAGTGTAGAGTGGCTTTAACTAGCTTTAAATTAACTATTTGTATTAGCTTTATCTGTGTCCTACATGTTTCACTCAACCCTGTGTTACTCCTGACATGAACAGAGCATTTCTTAAAACTGTGACATCATCTGGGCTCTTTCTACTGCATGATGGGAAGACAAGAGAATAATCTCAATCCATTCTCTCAGTTTTACACAAACTGTAGCATTGACTGTCAACCCTGTTACCAAAGTCACTGTAAGAAGAATCTCTGTAACTATGAATAACTTATATGATATTTGACAAATACAACTTTATCAGTAACTTGGTGTTTGCTGATTATTCAAATTTTTTTTTTTAAATGACTAGAATTCTGGTAATGTTGTTGCAAATTGTGAACCAGATATAAAATAAATGTAAAATAAAACAGTTAAACTAGTATTTAGTTTGATCTGATGTTGACAATCAATATAAAAATGTCTCAAATCTTCCTTTACTGACCATTTGTTAAAGAAAAACCCAGAACATTCTGTCCATTTCATAGTGTAACTGTTTATCTAAATGTGATGAAGTGCTTGAATGTTTCTAACATGAATGTTCTCCAGCATCATGAATGAATGAAGAATAAACACCAACCTCTTTGTCCTTCAGGATCTTCAGTGTGTTTCATTCTGCAGGGTTCTGGATCACTCATGTTCTCACTGTCCTCTTTAATAAACTCAGTCTTGGCAGATTTCAGCTCTTCCTGATGCTCTGATGCTCGTCTTCACTTGTAGCTGATGGGAATTTACAGCATTTATTGGAGAATTGCAGTGGGAGGAGCTTCACTGATGATGTATTCCAGTGTGGGAGGAGCTTCACTGATGATGACTCGCAGTGGGAGGAGCTTCACTGATGATGTATTCCAGTGTGGGAGGAGCTGATCTGCCTAAATCAAAAATATAAACTACTGAATTTGTTTTTATAACAAATTACACTTCTAAGTATTTATGTCTGTCTATCTTTTCATTGTACAGCAACTGATGCAAATTATTTTATATTTTTTTATTATTTTTATTGCTAATCCTAACATTATTCTGTTTCTTCATAAAAATACAGGTAACTAGAAATATAGAAAAGAAAAGAAATAATTTAATATAATTATATATAAATAATGGTAAGAAAAACTGTTACAATCACAAACAGATATAAACATACATATAGTAGCCAACAAATACCCTCAGTCTGCAGACACCAATGAAATGAGCTTTAAGTTTCAATTTACAGGAGATCTGAAGACATCAGCATAATAAATGAGGTGAAAACAGGAACTATTGTCATGAAATAAAGAGTGTTTTCAGCAGATCTGTTAATATTGATGAGCTTTAGACTATCAACACTCATTCAACAAGTCATTCAGGATCATCAGCAGATCATCTCACTTTATTCTGAGTGTTTGTTGAGTCAGGATAGATAATAAAAGCCTGTTAAACTGCTACACTGAAAGACAATACTGTAATTTCTCACACTATGACATGGAAAAAAACATCAATAACACAAAAACAATCACCAATGACACTCATCTTCATCAACCACGTCAGATAAATAATTACAGCAGCATAATATGACCAAATTAATCTAAATATAGCTAGTTTGATCGTTTGATAACTACTATGAAGGTAAAATGGTGTCATAAAGAATCGCATGCAGGGTAAGATTTGTGAAAGTGTGCATAAGATTGCAAGCGTAAATTAAATTTGCATGCGCAAGAGAAGGTGTGTAAAGGTGTAAATCGCGTTTCAAGCGTAAGAAAAAAAATCTGCAACATTTGACTGGTTTTCTTAAGTGTAATTCATGTATTGTGAAACTACAGCTTCACGCTAAAAATAAAATCGCTGACTCTCGATTTACTCATCTGGGGTGCGTTTTCCGAAAGCATCGTTAGCCAATATGGTCACAAGTTCCGTCGTTATCAGCAGTTCAACGAGTCGTGTTTCCCGAAACCATCGTTCCAACTAACACTCCCACACAGCATCGCAGAGTTGTGTGTTTGAGCGACAGATCTCGAGCTGAACACACAGTGGAGAACTGAACTTGTGATCGATAAGACATCTCTTCATTTACTGCTACAAACTGATAACGGTCAGATGAGTATGATTTAAACCATGCTAGTGCAATTCCACTAATGCCAATATAATTTTCGAGTCTATTTTAAAGGAACACTCCACCGTTTTTTTAAATGGGGCTTATTCACCATCTCCCCTACATTTAGATAGGTGGGCAAACCCATTTTTGTCTCAGTGCATGCATTGTTTTAGTTTGGCAGCGCTGCTGCTAGCTTAGCTTAGCACAATGAATGGAATCCTTTGTTGCCAGCTAGCATGTCGTGAGTAAAAGTGATAGAAAAAAAAAAAAAAACTAACTACATCTTGTGGCTTGCGTATTCACAACGAGAACAAATAGCAATGCAGATTAAGACTAGGCAATTTACTAGGCAGAGATTGGCACAATTGTAGAAATGGGAATACAAATGGAAGGTCTTCCCATATTTCAGCGGGAGAATACTGGGAAGCTTTTCTCTAGATGCCTGGTGAGTGCAGCTTGGAAGACCTTCAGCTTTTAGTAGTGTTGCATAGCAAAGAGGCCATACACAAATAGACATCACTCTTTATTGACTAGTTTTCTACAGGACATTATTTCAGGGGTGTCTTTGTTTTGTCAGGCAAGTGATGCAGATAACAAACAGATGAAAGGCATCAAGATGGGGGTCCTCACAGTGCTTGATGATGATGACGACGACGCACTCATTAATATTGCCCTTGTGTCGGAGGAAACCATTGTCCTGAAAGACATCCCAGACACCCCGACTGCGCTTGCGTATCTTTTTGGCTTGCTTTATGCCCTCAACATGGAGTTCCCTAAAGACATCAGGTATACCTTTGAAACTATCCAGCACATTTTCATGGAAATGTCCACCAATTGCTCACAGCGTGTCCGGAGCTTCAAGACCAAGCTGTTAAACCAGTGATTCATTTTCCATGGGGAAGATTTATTTTATCATGTCTGTTCATTTATGTTTGGATATTTTGTAAGTCTTCACATAGACCACCTTATAGTTTTTATGTTGTTCCTTTATTTTGACTAAAAATAAATCTTTTATGTGTAGCTGTCATATTACTGTCAAGAGACTACGGTATTGATTGTTCAGTAGAAGCAAGCTGTGTTTCGCCATTACTGTTATAGCCTGCATGTTTTCATTTTTGGGTAATTTCAAAGTTCAGATAATTCAGAAAGTTCAGATAATTTGGCTTTTTCAGCTGGGGATTTACACATTTCTGAATTAATACTTAGGCACTATACCACTGTTTTTCTGTAATCTTTGGCTATTTGTAAGGTCTCAACAAGAGTCGGAAAGAAAAAGAAAAAAAAAAACTGCCCATATTACGGTTCTGAAACCTGATTTTGCTTTGGGTATAAGATTACTTGTTTACATTGCCCATATTATGGTAATGAAAAGTGATGTATTTGCTTTGGGCATAAAATTACTTGTTTACATTGTGGAATTGTAAAGTTGTTTGTGCCAAAGTCGTTCAAATAAACATGCATACATTTTACTGTCAGTGGATGATTTAATGTGTGTGTGTGTGTGTGTGTGTGGGGGGGGGGGGGGGGGGGGTAAATTTAAACTCAAAATAGTAAGTTATTACACGTGATGGTAATCTGAACTCAAAATCGTAAGCTTTTACAGACTTGAAAGTTCCAGTAACTTGAGTTAAAAAAAACTTAGTTGTCAGAACTCTTACTTAACTGACACAACTTAATAATTGTAGGTCTTCAAAACTTAAAAAATTAAGTTAATATCTTCAACTCAAAAATTATGTGCAGTCGGTTGCTTTGAAAATTCGAGTTGAACTAACTTTTTCTTTTTTACAGTGAGTTCCACTTGACCCACCCTACATCTCAAAGCTGGAGCCGGGTCTGGTGTTGTTTAAAGCTCATAGTGATTGTTCTGACTTCATGAAGCCTTGTGTCACAGTCTTCGTCTGCACCTGTCTGTCTTAGTCATCTTCACTACACGTCCCAGCATCCTCTTGTCTCCACACCTGAACTCACTCCCTCATTATCCTGTCCCTCGTCATCATCATCTGTGTCACCTGTCTTCACCTCGTTTGTGTTCATTTGGATCTGTATTTAGTTCTCTCTGTTCAGTCTGTCTTTGTCGGTTCTTGTAAATGCTTAGGTGTTGTTGTGAGTGTTCTGCCTGTCTTCTTGCCTGTAGCTGTTTCCTGTTTTGTTTAAAAGTAAATATTTTGTATTGGAGCTCTTTGCCTCAGCCTGCCTTCATTCCACACCACACCGTGACAGAAGAACCGACCAAGACATGGATTTCCCTGCAGTAAGACTGCTGTGCCTTGAGCAAGGAAACAGCTCTCTTGAGGAACACCTAGAAGTTTTCCTGGATCTGGTACCTCAAACCAGTTTCCCAGATGACTGCCTTTGCAACCCCAGTGCCCAGCCTGAATCCTACGGTTGGATTCAAGCAGGCAGAGCTTCCACCACTGATCCCGTCTTGCCCAGAGCCTTCACCGCTGGTCCTGTCCAGTCCAGCCGAGTCTTCCTCACCGCCAGAGACCGTCCAGCCAGAGACCGTCCAGCCAGAGACCGTCCAGCCAGAGACCTTCCAGCCAGAGACCGTCAACGTCCCGTCTACCCAGCCAGAGACTGTGTTCCCACCCAGCCTCCCTCTCCCACCTCCTCTCATCTGCCACCATTCCACTCTTCCGCCACCGCCTGTCATCCCCTCAGCTCACCTAATCACCTTTGACGAGGTGGAGTCGCTGTGGGCCTGCCAGCCTGCAGCTCCAGCGTGGCTAGTGGCCGAGTCCCCGCCTACACCTCAGTCCTCAGAGCCCACACCTTCATCTCGGCCTGTCACTCCTTCGCCTGCACCTAGATCCACGACTCCTTCATCGCCTCCGCAGTCTGTCTGCCCGGAAGCTCCACTGGGCTCGAACGCCACTCCAGGTCGGCCTTCGGTGGTCGAAGTCCAGTTCCTGCCACGGACTTCCGGGATTCGGGCTGCGCCCTCACCCTGCACCCCTTCAGCATCCATGGACTGCTCCCTTCCTCAGTTCTCCCCGTCGGCCTCCCTCGTCACTTCGTCACCCCGGTCATCCATCCCTACGTCGCCTCTTCAGTCCCGCAGATCAGCGGCGCAGCTTCGGTTCTCCAAGCCTGCGATGGCACCATGGTTCTTCGGACACTCTGTTCCGCCGTGGCCGTCCGAAGGGTCTTCACCGCCGTGGCCGCCTGAAGGGTCTTCACCGCCGTGGCCGCCTGAAGGGTCTTCACCGCCGTGGCCGCCTGAAGGGTCCGCTCCGCCCTGGCCGCCTGCACGTCCTGCTCCGCCCTGGCCGCCTGCACGTCCTGCCCCGGCCTGGAGGCTTCCCGTCCCAGTTTGGCCACGCCCTGGCCAGCCTTCAGGGCGCCCGCCCCCCCCCCACCCCACCCCACCCACCCCATTGATGTTCTACGGCGCGAGGTCGCGCCTTGTTGAAGGGGGGCGTTCTGTCACAGTCTTCGTCTGCACCTGTCTGTCTTAGTCATCTTCACTACACGTCCCAGCATCCTCTTGTCTCCACACCTGAACTCACTCCCTCATTATCCACCTGTCCCTCGTCATCATCTGTGTCACCTGTCTTCACCTCGTTAGTGTTCATTTGGATCTGTATTTAGTTCTCTCTGTTCCGTCTGTCTTTGTCGGTTCTTGTAAATGCTTAGGTGTTGTTGTGAGTGTTCTGCCTGTCTTCTTGCCTGTAGCTGTTTCCTGTTTTGTTTAAAAGTAAATATTTTGTATTGGAGCTCTTTGCCTCAGCCTGCCTACATTCCACACCACACCGTGACACCTTGTGTGTGAATGAACTTCAAACCAGAGGTGGGAGTAAGTCACACATGTGCAAGTCACAAGCAAGTCTCAAGTCTTAAAGGGGGGGTGAAATGCTGTTTCATGTATAGTGAGTTTTTTACACTGTTAAAGAGTTGGATTCCCATGCTAAACATGGACAAAGTTTAAAAAATGAAGTTGTAAGTTTGATGGAGTAATTCTGTTTCAAAAATACTCCTTCCGGGTTGTCACAAGTTTCGGAAAGTTTTTTTCGAATACGGGCGTGTATGACGTCAGAGTGGCCGGAATTTCCTTATACGGGTCTTAAGGGCACTTCTCCCGGAAGGGCGCGCGCGCATCTGTAGCCTAGTGCGTGCGAGAGTACGGCTATGCCCATCGAGCGCTGGGCTCGGTCGGCTGCGCTGCAATTAAAAAAAAAAGACAACACTGCACAAATTTCCAAAGAACCCAGCGTTAAGGAACCTGTGGATGGATTTTGTTTTTCCAGAGCAGCAACGGAGTTGTGCAAGTGTTTTTGTTTGTTCCCTTTATTTCGACGGTAATAGTTTTATAAACAAGGCCCAGTTCAACGCCGGATTTGCAGATCGCCTAATACTTAAAGATGGAGCAGTCCCAACGATAAAGGTTCACGGTCGTGCGTTGGAACCGCAGGCGGTGAGTAAAACTGCTTCAAATGTCTGTGAGTTGTTAACTATCGGCGTGTTAGCACAGCAAGTAAACAACATGATCACATACAGTTAATGTATATCTATGGAGCATGCGATGTATGGTGTGTGTGTGTGTTTAAATACATTTGTTTAGCTGGCCACTGTAGGTGTCAGTTTGTTTATTGTAAAAATAAATCATGTCCTCATAAACCACGAGTCTGTCTGTTTACAACACACAAATGTTATAAAACTCGCGCATGACATGGTGTTCTAAAAACACTGCGCTCAAGTTCAAATAATTTCTATTTTTTTTAAAAACGCTCGAGACCTTATGTTTTTCACCCATTTCACTGCCCATCTCACGTTTTTGTGAGCAAAAACGCGTTCTGTATGAACGAGCCCTTAGTATTGTTTAGATCCTTGTTCTGCATGGGATTACTATCTGATTGTTAGCCATGGTTTATTTTCGAATGTCACTCACAGCTTCCAGACGCTCTCAACGCAAAAGCTTCGCGCGCTCGTGTCGTGATTATTTTAGCTCCGCCCACACGGCAAGCCTCCACCCGCTCGGGTTTTTCCGGAAAGACTCGGTACAGCCTATCTTTCTTTTATAAATATAATAAAACTAAAGACTTTTTGGAGATATGAAGGATGCAATACTACTCTATAGGTACTCAAGATTAACATGAGATTGAGTGAAACTGAGTGTTTCACCCCCCCTTTAACCTTCGAGTCTCAAGCAAATCCAAGTCAATTTTTTTATAAAAGCAAGTCAAGTCACTGCCTTATGTCAAGTCAAGTCGTAGCTTGGGTCACAAGTCACTGGCAAGTCATACAAACGTTTGATGATTTCACTGAATTTATATATTAAAATAAGTTAAAACTACATAAGTTGTGAACTATGGTTTTATTTGCAACATTTTTTTTTTTAAATATGCATTTCCACATACAGCTGAGTGGTTACTACAATAAAAATCTAAAAAATAAATACAATTTCAAACTACATAGCCTAAAATGTAAATGTAACTGAAATTAGGCCAACATTAAAGCATGAAAAAATAAATATGCCTCAAACATTGCAGAGGACCATTAAAAGGTATTAAACAATTCACAATTCAAGTATAATGGTTCCTATGCCACCAAATGGCATTCTTCAAACTGGCATCCCCTTTATATAAGTTATATAACAGCCGTTGGCATTTAGCCTATTATGAAGTTAAAACCGCCAATAGGTGGCGCCAAATCACCGTCTTAATGTACGAGTCATAGAAGCAGTCAACTGATTTGTTCAAAATGACAGATTCGTTCTGGAACTGAGCAACTAGGTCACTGAATCACAAATACGCATAACTCTTTCTGTGGCTTGTTTGGAACTATTGTCATTGGAGAAATAGAGCAAAAACAGAAAATATTTGGAATATTATGTCTAAAATGTCACATCACAATATTCACTCTTTGTTTACTGAACTGTTTTATAAAATCATCACATTTGCAATCGCGCCAATAATCTGGATTTTTTATATATATATACATATATATATATGTTATAATTATGAAAATAACTCATACTAGGGCAATTTTTCCACCACATTTTGAATGCATATTAATTCTGCTGGCATTTTTTGCCACCAACCCCCTGATAACATTAAGAGAAACATAAACAACAACACTAACAGTTTTCTATATTGTTTTTCGTCATTGGAAAGAACAACATTTTTGGCTTTAAAGCATAATTTAAAAAGAAATGTGGCAAATGTTATACAAAACATATACCATCATTAATTATCATTTGAATATTGACAACATTAAGCTACATTTGAAAACATAATTGTGTATAAAGAGGCATGCTGTTTTGACCAATATTATTCTCTCTAGATTTAAAGATAGTCAAATTAACTATAACAAACAGGTTAAACAAGCCATAGCTTACTTTTAGACGTGGTGAATGAAGTTCGACTGTTCGAGGTTGTGATTGTCGTCCGATATCCCTTGCCAGTTATTATGCGTACAACACATCTTCTTGCATGAATATGGTCATTTTCTAGTGTTTATATCCAAAAAGATACGATGCAGGGAGATGTTTTTGTATTTAGCGCGCTCACCGCGATGTAGGCTATTTCTGGGCTTGTGCAGCGTCACGCAATCGCGCAGAATCTGATGACGTCAATGGTTCCGTTGCTTTCATTTTGTTTATCAATTGATGTTGCGATGATTTATATAAAAATGTATATCAAGTCATTCTCGAGTCATACAGTTCAAGTCAAGTCAAATCTCAAGTCATTGGATCTCAAGTCAAAGTCAAGTCCAGTCATTTTCTTAATTTAGTCAAGCAAGTCTCAAGTCCTTAAATTTGCGACTCGAGTCCCCCATCTCTGCTTCAAACTGACTAGAACAAACTCTTTGAAATGTATATATGATACTGGATATGAAACTGTTAATAATGTAGTCAGACAGCAATCTCATTCAATGTCAGTCATATGTGGGTGAAATATCATTTATTAGGCATTTTAAAGCTCTATTGAGAAAATGAAAACATGGAAATCTCAAAAGCAATCATATCAGGATACTTCATGACTTTCAGAAGTAAAATTATAACTAATTCAAGCAGAATCAGCAGAAAATAATTAATCATTAATTACATGAAGCAAATACAAACATTAAGTAAAAGTGAATGAGACAGATCTCTCTCTCTTTATACAGATCTCTGTATTCTAAATTTTGTATTGTTATGTAAATATGTCATTTTATTCTTTTTTAGGGTGACTTTTTACCATCGGTCTAGGCCGGGACTGCAGATGAAAAATAGCCTTTTGGCTAATTATGGCATATTGACAGAAATGTTTATTAATATGCACTGTCCCTGTAATAAAAAAATAAATAAAAATAAAATAAAATTTTTTACTGACTTACTTTACTGAGAAGAGAAGAAAAGTGTCCAGTTTCAAAGATACAGGCAAGTATATCTTGTGTTTGCATGGAAGAGTAGAAGTGGAAGATAAACTAGATGTTCTAATGAAAAACAATGAAGAATGAGTTAAAAATTAATATCAGATTCACATCTCATAAAAGTGTAATGGCCTTCTTCTCCAGTGTGAATTTTCTGGTGGTCTTCAGTTCATCTTCTGTAGTAAAGGACTTCACTAAAACACACACCGCCGTGTCTTCTGTAATATTAAGGATGAATCTTCTCCTTTGATTGAATCTTCTGGTGTTACTTCAGGACTGATCACAGTTAAATGCTCTTTCTTCAGAATGAGAAGCAGAAGTGATTTCAGAGCGAAAGCCTGAGCCGCTTCTTCCCAGTGTGAACGCTCATGTGAATCTTCACACTTGATTTAAATGTGAAGCGTTTTTTACACTGAGGGCAGGAGACAGATTTATTGCCTTCTGTTTTTCCTTTCTTGTTCACGTCCATCAGGTCTAAAAGAAACATTAAATCAAGTGAGTTTCATTAGACTATTTTATGCAAACAGCTTGCTAATCATGTCTTACTCATGTAGTTAAAGTAGTGATGGGCGATTTCGAAACACAGCTTCACGAAGCTCAGAAACCTTTATGAATCATTTGTTTCATATCAGTGGTTCAGAGCGTAAATCAAACTGCGAAAGTCACAACATTTTGCAGATGTTTTAATCAGTCATTTGTATAATTAAAAGGAATAATAGTCTTATGGCCTGTTTAGCTGAGTATTAAAAACCCACATGTTATACAGATCCTTAATTTTTATGATATTACATGATTTGTTGATTGCATTTAATCGATTTAATTGAATGCAATGGTTTGTAAAATGTGTTTTTATGCATGTTTGGCCTGAGTTTTTGTTGCATTTACACTATTCTGACCAGCGTGTGGCGTTTTTTCAACATTTCAAAACAGTGAATCATTTTTTACGAAGCAATTGGTTCAACTAATTCAAAGTAAAACCTTTGAAAAGCTTAGTTTTTCTCATCTGGGTTGAGCCTTTTGGGTAAATTTTTTGGGTTATTTTTTCAGTGTTTGGGTAGTTTTTGTGTTACTCAGCTCCTGGGTCAGACGTAACAACCCAGAGTTTGGGTATTTTTTGTGTTACTCAGCTCCTAGGTCAGACGTAAAAACCCAGAGTTTGGGTAGTTTTTGTGTAAGATAAAATAATATATTCCAATAATAGGGCTGGACGGTATGGCCAAAATTTATATCACGATATATTTCTTAATTTTGGTCGATACGATGCAATTCCGATATCGATATAAACAATATAAAAACCTCAGGAAAAACTGCCAAGATCGCCCACAATGAATGCCTGTACCAACAAACTTCTGAAAAATGTATTTGCCAAGTCTCTGAAACCTGCTCCTATAAAACTATATAATATTTCAGAAATAAAAATGGTACAAATAAATTATTGTTAATATTTTATTTCTATTTAGCCTTCATACAAACAAGAATTGTGAAATCACTGTCAAATAAACATAAGACTCTCAACTTATTAATATTAATATTTTTAACTTTAAACTATAGGCTAACATAGGCTGATTATATTGTTCTTATAGATTTAAAAAATTGTTTCAGCCAGGATAAAGAATATGAAAAGTGCTCAGAGTTGCTGGAGAAAAAAAAAAAAAGAAAAGAAAAAAGTCAGCAACAACAAAAACACATGTTGCTGGGGGACATTTTGAGTGTTGATGACAGCCTTAATTCATTCCGATTGATGAATCTGAATTTAGTGTTTACATGAACGCTAATGTGATGTGATCGGTTTCATGTGCGCGTATATACACTCACCTAAAGGATTATTAGGAACACCTGTTCAATTTCTCATTCCATGCGTGGCTTTAGGTCTGACACTTGTTCAGTGCTCACTGGTGTTCCTCAGGGATCAGTTCTGGGCCCTCTACTATTCAACATTTATCTGTCTCCACTTGGGCATCTGCTGCGATCGCTGGGTCTCCATTATCACTTTTATGCTGACGATACCCAAATCTACATCCATTCTAAATCTGGTGAAGATATTGATGCTTGTTATCTTTCTGGCTGTATCTCTGAGATAAAAACATGGTTGAACAATAACTTTCTTTGCCTGAACAGTGGGAAAACTGAGGTTATGCTTATAGGTTCCCGTCATCAAATTCGCAAAGCGGCTCCACTGTCCCTGTCTGTTGATGGCTCTGTTTTAGAGACCCAAAGTAAGATGAGGAATCTTGGTGTAATTTTTGACACTGGCCTCACTTTTGATTTTTTTGTTCATAGCACGGTTAAGGCATCCTTTTTCCATCTCAGAAATATAGCCAGACTACGCCCAATGCTAAACTTGTCTGTCGCTGAAAAGTTGATTAATTCATTTGTGTTCTCACAGCTGGATTATTGTAATGCTGTTTTAGCTGGAGTTTCTAAAACCACTATTAACAAATTGCAATATGTTCAGAACTCTGCCGCCCGGATCCTGACGGGAACCAGGAAATTTGACCATATTACTCCAGTTTTGAAGTCCCTACACTGGCTCCCGGTCAGGTTCCGTGTTGATTTTAAGATCATGATGCTGACATACAAGGCTTTACACGGCTTAGCTCCGCAATATTTATCTGGCTTATTAACTGCTTATACTCCTAATCGCAGACTGCGTTCCTCACAGTGTAATTTATTAACTGTTCCACAAACACATCTAAAATCTATGGGTGACAGGGCTTTTTCTGTTTATGCTCCTAGACTTTGGAACTCTCTCCCTCCTGAACTAAGGGAAGCACAAACTCTTGGCATTTTCAAAGCTCTTCTTAAGACACATTTTTTTAAACTTGCATTTGACTGCTGATGTCCCTTCGTGATCGCTTTACAGCTATTTTTATTATTAATGTTGCTGTTTTTGTTTTTATTAATTTGATTTGTTGTCTTTCCAGGTGGATTGTGATTTTATGTACAGCGCTTTGAGAAGCTGCTTTTAAAGGCGCTCTATAAAATAAAGCTTATTATTATTATTATTATTAATGCAATTATCTAATCAACCAATCACATGGCAGTTGCTTCAATGCATTTAGGGGTGTGGTCCTGGTCAAGACAAACTCCTGAACTCCAAACTGAATGTCAGAATGGGAAAGAAAGGAGATAAGCAATTTTGAGCGTGGCATGGTTGTTGGTGCCAGACGGGCCGGTCTGAGTATTTCACAATCTGCTCAGTTACTGGGATTTTCACGCACAACCATTTCTAGGGTTTACAAAGAATGGTGTGAAAAGGGAAAAACATCCAGTATACGGCAGTCCAGTGGGCGAAAATGCCTTGTTGATGCTAGAGGTCAGAGGAGAATGGGCCGACTGATTCAAACTGATAGAAGAGCAACTTTGACTGAAATAACCACTCGTTACAACCGAGGTATGCAGCAAAGCATTTGTGAAGCCACAACACGCACAACCTTGAGGCGGATGGGCTACAACAGCAGAAGACCCCACCGGGTACCACTCATCTCCACTACAAATAGGAAAAAGAGGCTACAATTTGCAAGAGCTCACCAAAATTGGACAGTTGAAGACTGGAAAAATGTTGCCTGGTCTGATGAGTCTCGATTTCTGTTGAGACATTCAGATGGTAGAGTCAGAATTTGGCGTAAACAGAATGAGAACATGGATCCATCATGCCTTGTTACCACTGTGCAGGCTGGTGGTGGTGGTGTAATGGTGTGGGGGATGTTTTCTTGGCACACTTTAGGCCCCTTAGTGCCAATTGGGCATCGTTTAAATGCCACGGCCTACCTGAGCATTGTTTCTGACCATGTCCATCCCTTTATGGCCACCATGTACCCATCCTCTGATGGCTACTTCCAGCAGGATAATGCACCATGTCACAAAGCTCGATTAATTTCAAATTGGTTTCTTGAACATGACAATGAGTTCACTGTACTAAAATGGCCCCCACAGTCACCAGATCTCAACCCAATAGAGCATCTTTGGGATGTGGTGGAACGGGAGATTCGTGCCCTGGATGTGCATCCCACAAATCTCCATCAATTGCAAGATGCTATCCTATCAATATGGGCCAAGATTTCTAAAGAATGCTTTCAGCACCTTGTTGACTCAATGCCATGTAGAATTATGGCAGTTCTGAAGGCGAAAGGGGGTCAAACACAGTATTAGTATGGTGTTCCTAATAATCCTTTAGGTGAGTGTAGATTATAACCTAGATGTGCTGTGTTTGACAGAAACCTGGCTAAAATAGATGATTACATTACTTTAAATGAGTCCACCCCCCAAGATTACTGTTATAAACATGAGCCTCGTCTGAAAGAAAAAGGGGAGATATTGCTGTAATTTATTAGCCTGGCTCCGCCCTCCTACGTACTTACGCTTAATTTTCATTTTCCTTCAATACTACATCTGGGCTTGCGGTGTATTCTTGTGAACAAAGAGAGTGGTGAATGGTGGTGAACTTTGAATCATCATGTGGTATTCTTATTTGAATTATTATGGTGGTTATCAGTATATTACAAAGGTATAAAGCAGATTTTAATACTTTAGTGTAATTGAATTATAACGTTTATCGGGTAATGAAATATAAGGGTTGTCCCATAAAACTAAAAGGTTACTACTGTATTTTTATGGTAAATTACCGGGAACCAGAGCTGATGTTTTTTTTACCACACATTTAAGTCCTAAGTAAGGTTGCTACCATATTTTTTTACGGTAAAATGCTGGCAACCAAGCTAAATTTCACAGGTTTTTTTTTAAGTTAAAACTACATAAGTTGTGAACTATGGTTTTATTTGCAACATTTTTTTTTTAAATATGCATTTCCACATACAGCTGAGTGGTTACTACAATAAAAATCTAAAAAATAAATACAATTTCAAACTACATAGCCTAAAATGTAAATGTAACTGAAATTAGGCCACCGCTTGGAAGAGGTGGGCCAGAGCACGGTTCAGTTGGACTCGGGCGCGGTTCGCATGCAGTGTGAGCGCTAACCGTGCTGGAGCACGGAACAGGACGCGTGACGTCATGGTTTTGTGACGCTCCAAAACCAACACAGTCCGTAATCAAAGCTGCAAAGTCCTTGCTGCACTTCAGCTGGTGCATTGCAAACCTCCTCATACGAGCAGCACGATTACGTGAAAATCTGTTTAACAACAGGCTGTGAGAGGGCTGTGGACCACCGTGGACCAAACGACACAAAATTATCCACAAAGAAAACAGAGCGATGGACTCCATTGTGTTCAGACAGCGCCGCTCTTCTTGTTTATCTCGAAACCGTCGCACCATAATGACGTAAGCGTGCTCCGGCACGAATGCTGAAACCCTATGTGAGTGCAGGCCAAAGGGGGAGTGGGGAGGGGGGACAATCGTACTCGGGCCCGGTTCATGGCAACCGTGCCTAGTGTGAGTACACCCTTAGGGTCGCTAACACGACACACCCATCCGAACAAACATCAAAGGTTGACACCATATTTTTTACGGTAAAA